TGTGGTTGCCATGGGGATTACATACAACATCCTAAAGTTATAGCAATCTATTTTGGTTTGATATCAACTTAACGTCAATTGGATACAAAAATTACTCCCTTTCAGCTCTGTCATCCTACCACTTCATGTTGCTGTTGTCACAAACTACATCTTTATATGTCTGTACCCATTAACATGGATTTATAATTACTTTATGCATTTGAGTTTTAAATACCATAGAAAATAAAAATAGATTTTAAAAACTGAAGTTGCAATAATAATGTTTTTTTATTTCACCAAATATTTTCCCTTACTAGAGATCTTTATATATTCATATGGCCTCAAGCTACCATCTAATGTCCTTCCGTTTCAACGTGAAGCATTGTCTTTAGCATTTCTGGTGAGGCAGGTGTAGTAGTTATGAATTTCCTCACCTTTGTTTATCTGGGATATCTTAATTTCTCCCTCATTTTTGAAGGACGATTTTGCTGGGTATAGAATTTTCACTTGACAGTTTTGCTTTCAGCACTTTAAATATATCATCCACTGTCTTTTGGCCTCTAAGATTTCTGCTGAGAAATTGACTGAAAATCCCTTGTGTGTGACAAATTACTTCTCTCTTGCTGCTTTCAGGATTCTCTCTTTGTCTTTGGACAGTTTGATTATGATGTGTCTTTGTATGGATCTCTTTAATTTAACTAGTTGAAATTTGTTAAGCTTCTCAGACTTGTAGATTCACGTCTTTCCTCAAATTTTGGAAGGTTTTAGCCATTATTTCTTCAAATACCCTCCCTGCCCTTTTGTCTTAGTCTGTTTGAGCTGCTGTAACAAAATACTATGGACTGGGTTGCTTATAAAAAACAGAAATTTATTTCTCATAGTTCTGAAGGCTAGAAAGTCCAAGATCAAGGTGCTGGCAGATTTGATGTCTGGTGAGAGCCCTCTGCCTGGCTCATAGACAGAACCTTGTTAAACTAATCCTTATCTGCCTAGTCACTTCTCCACCCAGTTAACTACCATAGCCTAAGCCCCTTTGCCTTGTCATGTTATCACAATGTAATACTCTTTGTCCAACTTGGTATATAAGCATTCAACTCTAACTGCTTCTTTGGGTCCTCATTTTTCTTGTGAAGTCTCCCATGTATATGTAAAAATAATAATAATATTAATGAAAATTTATATCCTTTTTTTTCTGTTAATGTCTTATGGTGGTTTAATTCTTAGGCCCAACTGGAGACCCTAGGAAGGTAGAAGAGAAATTTTTCCTCCTCTACACTATCAAAATATCTAAAAGATTGTGTGTGTGTGTGTGTGTGTATGCATGTGTGCGTGTACACACAACTTCCAGGCAGTTTCTAAATCCACAGGGAAAAGTAAGGGCTAAGAATAGCCCACATTGTTTTGAAACAGAGGACCAAAGAAGGGGAGCATATATACCAGACATCAAAATTTGTAGGAAGGCAAACAGTAACCATTAAAGCCAGATGGTATGATTGACAAATGAATGGATAAACAAAATGTGGTCTATACAAACAATGGAATATTATACAGCCTTAAATAGGAATGAAACTGCGACACATGCTTCAACAAGGATGAATCTTGAAGACCTTATTTCTTAAGTGAAGTAAGCTAGACACAAAAGGTCAAATATTGCATAATTCTGTTTACATAAAGAACCTAAAATAGTCAAATTCATAGAGAAAGAAGGTAGTATGGTGGTTATGAGGGACTAAGGGAAGGAAGAATGAGGACTTATTGTTTAGTGGGTACTAAGTTTTAGTTTGGGATGATAAAAATATTCTGGAGATGAATAGTAGTGATGGTTGCACAACAATGTGAATTATACACTTAAAAATGATTAAAATGGGGGCCAGCCCAGTGGTACAGTGGTTAAGTTTGCAAGTTCCACTTTGGTGGCCAGGGGTTCACCAGTTCAGATCCCAGGTGCGGACATGGCACTGCTTGTCAAGCCATGAAGTGGCAGGCATCCCACATATAAAGTAGAAGAAGATGGGTACAGATTTTAGTTCAGGGCCAGCCTTCCTCAGCAAAAAGAGGAGGATTGGTAACAGATGTTAGCTCAGGGCTAATCTTCCTCAAAAAGAAAAGAAAAAGATTAAAATGGTAAATTTTATGTTGTGTATATTTTATCACAATTAAAAAATACCCAAACAGACGGTATGGGTGCAAAGACAGACAACTAGACCAACAGGAAAAAAAAAGTGAGCACAGAAACAGACCCACGGGAGCTTGGTGTGTGATAGAAAAGACATGAAACTCAGTGGGGAATAGCGTGAATTATCCCACTGGCTACTGATACTTGAAAAGGTAAAATTACATCCCTATCTCACATCACACACGAATTAAATTACAATGGAATGACACTATCTAATTATGAAAGGCTAAACGTTAAAGCTTTTAGAAAAAAATATGTATGATAATATCTGCATGATATCAGTAGAAAAGATTTCTTGAACATGGTATGAAAAGCTATATTAGCTTCCTAGGGCTCCTGGACCAAAGTACCACAAAATGGGTGGCTTTCAACAACAGAAATTAATTTTCCTACAATTCTGGGGACCAGGAGTCAGAAATCAAGGTGTCAGCAGATTTCTGAAACTCTGGGTCTCAGACACTTCCTCTGAGGCTCTGGGTAGACTCTTCCTCGTCTCTCCCTAGCTTCTGGTAACAGCTGTCATCCTTGGTGCTCCTTAGCTTACAGCTGCATCGCTCCAATCTCTGTCTCTGTTGTCACATGGAATTCTCCCTGTGTGTCTCTGTCTCTTTTTCCAGATTTCCTTCTTTTAATAAGGACAGCAGTGGTATTGTGTTAAGGGCCCACCCCATTCCTCTATAACCTCATCGTAACTAATTATATCTGCAGCAACCCTATGTCCAATTAGGGTCACATTCTCAGGACCTGGGGAGTAAGATTTCAACATATTTTTGGGGGGGACACAATTCAACCCGTAACAAAAGCATTAACCATAAAGGAAAGGACTGATATATTTTATCACATTAAATAAAAAGTGAGCAATTTATTCTCTTCTTCTGTGAGATATGTCAGATAAAAGATATTATGAGGAAGAGATTAAAAGTCCTTATCCCCATTGTTAGTAGTCTTTGTGCTACAAAACAAAGGTGAGTACTAAATAAATGAAAACTACACATTTTAACAATGTCATATTTATTACGAAGTAACACATTTTAAAATTTTAATATAAAAATATAACGTAAAAATTAATTCTGCTATCCCTAAGTTGCATGTCACCAACCATTTCAGTCTTTTACTTTGCGTTCTAAATCTTGGTTGAAACAGTCTTCCCTATGTTGAGATTACTTTAGAAATTCTCCAGTTTTTTCAGTGTAAGGGGTAAGGCAAGGGACATTTCTCCTTTTTTCCATATGATTAGGTATTCATTCATTCATTTATTCACAAATACATTTTACGTGGATTCTATGTTCAGGTACTGTTCTTGGTGCTGGAGTACAAACGTAAACAGGACTAAATGTTCTCTGCTATCATCGCTCACATTCTCACAAGAGGAGACAGGCTTTCAAAAACACAATAACAAATGAGTAATTTGTTAGTATGTAAAGCTTGATTAGTGTTATGGAAAAAATAGAGTAAGGAGGGTCAGAAGTGCCAGGTGTCTGTAGTAGGTTGTAAATTTAAATTTGAATGAGCCTTTTTGAAAAAGCAATATTTGATCAGGAGGTATTTAAAAGAACATTTGAGCATACATCCAAAGAGTATAAATTATGCTGTGTTTAGTAACAATTAGAAGAGATTAGATAAATACTTCGACTAATTTTGTTTTTCCAACTGGTTAAAAAGTGAAATGAAATGTTTTGTGTCATGATTTTGGAAGATAAAAGTAATTGCTGTTCTTCTGGCTGGGGCAAATAAACGACTCACCTTTAAGCAGATGTATACTTGATATTGACACTTGGCAGTAGAGGAGTAGGGGTGGGGTGGAGGAGCGGGGATGGATCTTTAGCTATTTTCTGCAGATTTACCTGTATTTGTCATTTCCTTTTTCTCCATTTCTCCTCCTGTTCACATGAGATAAATGCTCTGATTTTTGTTTAGCTGCTCAGTCATTATAAAGTCTTTTATCAAAAATCTTCAGGGGGCTGGCCCGTGGCTGCGTGGTTCCACGTGCTCTGCTTCTGCAGCCCAGGGTTCTCGGGTTTGGATCCTGGGTGCAGATCTACTTCACTCATCAGCCACGCTGTGGAGGCATCCCGCATACAAAGTAGAGGAAGATTGGCAGAGATGTTAGCTCAGGACTAATCTTCCTCAAGCAAAAAAAAGAGGAAGACTGGCAACGGATGTTAACTTGGGAAAATTATCTTCAGTACTTTTGGCCAGCTTGACTTTTGGTAGCGAAAAGCACAAGCCATTGAGAAATTGTTGTTCACTGAACACAACTTTAATTTGTTTTTTAAACAAAATGATACTATTTCGAGTGGAATTTTGTTATTTCACCAAATCCAGGTATATGAGATGACTCCTGCAAGGTCGTGCACAACACAAACTCCCTTTGCACGTTCCTGATACTGACAGAGGATTGGCTCCCAAGACAGTGACGTTTTACCAGTGCCCTGTTTTTTTCCAGCTTTGAGAGTGTTCTTCCTTTATGGCAACCTGGAAGCTACGGATGTAATATACCACTTAAGAGATGGATGGTTATTCTTTCTTCCGGAATCTTCACAAGAGTGGATGATAAAGACAGAGGATGTTAATTCCTATACAGGTGCTCGGAAACAGAATCTTCTAGATTTCAGCTAGCAAACTGATATCAAGTAGAGCCCTGTAAGGTCTTTTGGCAATTTCACTTTCCTGGAATAAGTTGGTCACTTTTTAGCGATGTTACGAAAGCGTTATCGCAAAGTCTTTGGTTGAGGCTGCTTTGCTCGGGCCACCTTACTCTGTCAGCTGTCGGGGTGTTTTCACAGTATAGCACCCTGAAAATTAAATGTCATTTTGAGGGCACTGTTTTTTCCTTGCAGATTATTTAGCCGATTAAAAAGGCCCCGAAGAAACTGGCTTCTTGGTCCATGTCAATCAATTGCTCATTAGTTACAGAGACAAAAATTCTGTCATTTTCCTTAAGCTCAAATATTCCACCTTGATAGATGGAATAGAGTCCATATTCTGAATCTTTAGACCAACAACTATTTCTAGCACTTTTCATCAGCAGTATAGGGTCAGGATAGTCTGTGCTTTTGTAAATATATTGTACCATTTGTTTATTTTTCCTTCTGTTCTCTTCTGTTGCAACTGTTCCCAAAATTTCCTCAGGTTCCTGAAATCGAAAGTATGTTTGGGAATAGATGTAATAAAACCCTGTTTGATGGATAACCAGCTCTCCATTCCTCAAGTGTAAATTATTCAAGAACGAATGTCCTTTTCTTGATGTCTCCCAGGCGTTTATTTTCTGGCCCAGTGCTTTTTCATTCTTGGAGCCTGGATGAAGTTTAGAGAGAAAGAAAGTTAAAAGAAGGGAGTTTATAGCAAAACAGACTTTCCTAGTAGCTGTGACTAGCCTATTTTTTCGTTGGGATTGTAAAGGATCTAAATTCTAGTCATACAGAAATCTGGAGGCTCTTATCTAATTGTGACTGTTGGGAATCCCTTACTTTTCTGTACCTCGTCTGCCTCTTATGCCACATCTCCCAAACTCAGCTGAGTGGTAGCACAAGGGATGGTTCACGCTACAGCAATCTTTCCCCTTGAGCAGAACTTCTGTCCTGAACCCCTGCCTCCATTCCTGTGCTGGTGAGCTCAAATGAACAAGATAGAAGGAAACCAAATGAAACATAGCTATTTCTTTAAACCTAGGGCTCAGAACTTCTCGCTATTCCTTTGGGTCTCTTTGGGTTCCTCCTTGGTCCTTCTCAGCAATCCAGAGCCAAGGCACCATCCAAGCAGAAAGCATCTCTAGTCCACAATAAGACAGGGCACAAAGTTTGGCAAAGAGACCCCAGATTTAAAGATCTTTAGATCCTCAGATCTTTAACTCCCAAAGACTTTGAATGAAAGGACCCTACCAAAATATGATATTCCTTCAAACTTTGGGCTCATCTCCACTACTGGTGCAAAATTTAGTTTTCAAGAGTTTAAAACAACTTCCTATTTGTTGATGAATAGTAAACAATAACATTGTAACAATGATCTCACTCATAGTCAGAACACGTCAATCATTTATGAAACTTGAGTTCAGGAATACCAGGAAGCCAACTGTCCAGAAAAAAACAAAAAAATCCCCAACAAACCTTTCCTCCATTAACTGAAGCCTGAAATTTCTTTAACTTGGGACACAACTTTTCATTATAATGAAAACAACCACTTATTGAGTTCTTACAATACACTGGCATTTTGCATGTTCTGATCTTCACTGTTTTATGAATTAAAGATTATCTTTCCTTTGTATACAAAGAAACTGAATCTTAGTTTGGTTAAATAATTTGCTCAAAACATTTATCTAGGTGAGGAGGGGCTGGGATTCCAACATAGGTGTTCAGACTGTAAGACCCATGCACTTAACTACAGCAGTATGTGGATACTTGGTCTCCAGGTAAAAATTAGGCTTGACATATTTGGCTAAACTATATGAAACTGACATTTCTGTAAGTGAAAAATGGTCAAATATTGGCAACTTCCTATGGTTCAACTTAATACTGTGCAAATGTCACTAGGAGTCACTTAGTGACTCATGGGAAAAGTAAATGACTAATTTAGAACCTTTGAAGAGGACGAAGATTTGATGAAAGTGAGAGAGAGAAATTACTTTAAAGAAGAAGAAAAGTAAAAATGGTGGCATGGAAACTCAAAGACCAAGCTCTCCCACTTCATAATTTTCCTGAGGCCAGTTATGCCAGGGCAGTAATTATGCTATTCGCCTTGTAATCTTGCTTCTGAAAAGAATAATCTGAGCCCTGATTACCACTGAGTGCTTTGTAGATAGCCGTATAAGCATTTCAGGCACAAGTTAAAAGGATAAACTCCTTGGAACAAATTCTTCCCTTGCCTTTATTCAAGCTATATAGTCATTGTTTTTCTTACGTGGAATTGAGACTGTGCTTCTTCTCCGACTGGTCCCAGTTATGTGAGCTGCTACTCTCTGAAGACCTCTTTCTCTTACTAAGGGAGGAATATTTTGTCGCTTTTCTAAAAGAGAAGTGACAAAGAATCATCAACATTTGTCAAACTACTTCTCAAATACATTGCTGTTCACGGCTGTTATCAATCGGGCATTGTAAGTAGACTGGGCTTCCAAAGTTGATTACATAGGCTTTCATAAAAACAGCCTACATTTTAGCATGATGATCAGTCTACTTCAGCTTATGCTTAATTTGAGAAGTGCTTTAGCCAGGAAGAATAAGCAGTAACTTGGACTATAATTTATAGCCATCTCAGAGGTGAGGTCCAACTAGAATACAACAAAGTGAAGATTTTAGCCCTTTTCCAAAAAAAATAAATAAATAAAATAACTGTGGACTTGTAATAACCCTGGTGAGTCATTTAAAGTGCAGAAACAACCATGTATTGGCAAATTTCCACTTTGAGTTATAGATAGAATCAATCAGAGTGATACTAATTTTGTCATCTCAATTATTTTTCCTTTTTGTTGGCTACCGCTGATTCTAAAGAAGTAGCAGCAATAATGATTGTCCATTGATGCTACAAACCGGTGTCCAACAGTCATTCCCCTCACCTCCCAAGAGCAATATGAATTGATATACTGGTCACCATAATCAGTGTATGAGCATGTAAATCTCCGATTCACTACGTCAAAATAAACAAACAACATCTATTGACCACCATTTAAAGTACTTTCGGGAGCAACCTACAAAAATACAAATTCGACAAACTACTCTTTAAAATAATCAGCTCAAACTTCCCAAGTGTGCTTACATTGGTTGTTAAGATAAATTATATTTTTTCATCCAGCAAATATTGCCAGGGACAAGGCACTGCACTACACCCGACGGGGGATGCAAAGACCAATCACTGATTACACTGACTGAGCCCTGAGGGACTTACAGTCTTTTAGGGAAGATAGAATTAGGAAGTGAAAATTTACTTGTGAGAAATAGAAATAAAGAGGGATGGATGTTCAGAGGAGGGAAAGATTCCTATTTATTGGAGAGTTGAGGTCAGGGGAAGTTTGTGCTAAGGTCCTTTCATTCACTTACTCAAACAAACCATAGTGCCCATCACATCTATGCCAGGCACTAGGGTCTAGGGACAAGCAGAAAGAATTATAAACAAATGAATGCAAGAACATGTTTGAGGTGCAAGGCTAATTCTCTGAGCAGAGTGAGGACAGGCTGGCTTGGAGTCTAGATGTAGAACAGAGATCTAGACCAGAGACCCAAGGCAGGAGGCACAGGCATGGAACACAGGCATGGGAAGAGTTCGGTTTCAGACTTGAATGAGGAGCCAAACCATGGAGAATCTGAATATTAGGCTAAGAGGTTTGGATTTTATAGGACATGGAAAGACTCTTGAAAGTTTTGGTCAGGGAAGCGAAGAGATATGTGTTGTGCTTTAAGCTAACCTATCTAACAGCATGGTTTGATGGACAGAAGGTGAGAGGGCTGGAGACCGGCAAGTTACCACACTATCATAATTGATCAGCGCCGAGAACAGGGGGCTTTAATCTAGGCTAGTAGGAGAGGGAACTGACAGGAGGTGATACAATTCCATTGCGGAGGAATGATGGGAAACGAGAGTTTCTTCCATCTCTCTGGTATTAGTTGTTACTTATTCAGGAAGGGTAGGCATTCATGCAATACTGAAGACCAAACATGGCATGGGCATGCATAATCAATTGCACATTACTCTCAGAATGCTCAGCTTTCAAGGTTGATGCGTCCATTTACCTTTAACCTCCATTGTTAAATAATTCATAATGCCTTGCCTGCCCCCAGAGCTTAACACTTTGTTTCTAAATATTCAGTGACTGAATCCAATTATAAATGACTTACATTTGAGGTCATTGTAAGGATACGGGAAAGCCTGGATTTAAAAGCAAATTCTAAAGACAGAAAATTTCCTCCTGGCTATGGCAAATACCTCCCAGAAAAGAAACTGCGAATATGTATATTTGGGTATCATGGATGCATCTTGGTATACTGAGAAGCATATGGTTTCTACACCTTGTTGAGATGAATAAAAAACAGTATTTTTCTTCCAACACTGAAAATAGTGCCGGCATCTGCTGTGGACTGTGGATGTGCTGTGCATGATCAGAGGAGGGGGAGTGTTTGACATTCCGACTACTGCTTTTGTCTTTGGGAAGAAAGCTTAGACCTTGGGACCAGGTCTTGTCCATAATAATTAGTAAAGTCTATTTAATAAAGGAAAATGGGCGCTGTCAAGTGACGAGGAAGCTTCAATGCAATAAGCAAAAGTAGGAAGACATCACTAACAACACATGTATTAAAAGTTGTTTCTTCTCTGCCAGGCTGGTGTGCCCCAGGACTGTAAGACGCTGGTATATGTATTCAGGCCTGTATGGTCTTCAGTACAGGAAAATGGAGTTATGGTGAGCCGAATGTGAAGGACTAGCAAATCTAATTCAGTAGCTAGCAAATAAAATTCTGATTTTATTTAATTACACATTCATTCAAAAAATATGTGTAAAGGAACTTGTGTGTAGAGAGAGGGCGGTGGCACGACATTGTGAATGCACTAACTGCCACTGAATTATGTGCTATAAAATGGTTAATTGTATGTTATATAAATTTCATCTCAATCAAAATACATACACACACACACACACATACATACATGCCAAAGGTGGTACAGGTAAGGGCTAGGGTCCAGGGGGGATAAAAGAGAATGTACTAGACTTGAGGCATAGAGTTAGATGCTAAATAGAGAGAGGTGAGAGAAACAGACTTGTTTTCTGCCTTTGTGGATCTTTTATCTAGTAGGGAATTATGCAGCACACAGATAAAAAATTATATAAAAATAAAAGGAAATAAACAAGATACGTGTGATAGAAATAACAGGGTGTAGGGAAACTTACTTAGAAATGTGGCCAGGGAAGTTCTCTCTAAAGAGATGGTGATTAGGTAACACAGATGGAGGATGAGAAGGAGCCAGTTGTGTGAAAAGCCAGGAATGGAAGAAGCCAGAAGGAGGACCAAAGAAGCCAGCCTGGGCAACAGCCCTGAAGGAGGATGTGGGTTAAGAGTAGGCTGCTGACCAAGAACAGGAAGATGGCCGTTGGGTGGGGACCACAGGATGAGAATTGTGGGTGGGTAGGACTGTTGGGAAAGACACGGTGGAGCAAGAGGCTTTTGCATAAAGAAAGATACAGAGCCTTGTGATGGTGAGAAGCAGAGAAGATGGGTAACTTTGGGGCCCTTATTTATCTTACTTCCGACCATGTTCCAGAAAGGTTTTAGATGGCCTATTTACAACACATTAGAAGGTAAAAAAACAAATAATTGATGAAATTGAGGTGAAAGGAAAATCCACCTTGGAAAAACAAGATTTAGATAAAATAAAGTTCTGGTCATAGGTGGGCCACAGATTTGGTATTGAGCTTTCTAGCTCCAATACAAAGAGGAAGATAGAATCAAGCAGCTTGAGACACGGAGAAGCAGTCAGAGGCGGGATGTGTGGATGGAAGCAGAGTGAAAGAGGATGGAGAGTTGTTCACCCTGTCACGAAATTGATAGAAGAAAATTAAAATAACAACAAAAAAAATACTACCTGAAGTTGTAGGAATGGATTCCTCATAGGTTCTCAAAATCATCTGCAAACAGTATTGAATAAAGCTTGTTAATTTCCCTAAAAATTTAAACTGACTATAGAATGTCTATGGATCTTCTTGCTGATGTGTACTAGGGAATTTCTGTGTAAGATATCAACCTAGGAAGCTTTAAGTTGTTCAGGCGTAGAGTTTATGTGGTAGGGTGGGTACTGGCATGAATACTGAGGCAGCAGTCTCTACATGGTGATGGAAGGGTGGTCCTCTGTCTGGGAAAGTTCTGTTTTTGGATGAAGTCTTTGAAAGGCCACAGCTGGAGTGGCACAAGAGAAAGGAGCCATCTGCCAAGTTAGGTCAGCCTAATGTTTCCCGGGCCTCTCTGTGGCTGATGGATGTGGCAGCCATGTCACTTCACTTTCTCTGTGTGGGGCGTGTGTGTCTGCATACATGTGTGTGTGTAAGTGCACTGTGTAATAGAGTCCAGGGGCTATAAATTATTGCACAAACCCAAGCCTTGAGGTATATGCACTCTTCCTCTCTCGTGATACCCACAGACATACACAGCTCATCAGGCTGGGACCTGGCAACACTGTGTCATTCTCTTACTTCTGAGAATGTGGCTGAGGCATTCTTGACATAAAGATATTTTAGCAAGTTTCCATATCTTTGCTAAACGTGTAGTATCACCTTCTTTGAACTAACCAGTAGGGAAAACCAGTAGGAAGGAGCGAAAAAACAGCTTTTCTATTAAATGGGCAAACCCCGACTTGGTTCATATGAACTGTGGCTTCTACATTCCCCTCCATTCAGTTCTGTCACCCTCAGGGTTTTGCCCATCACTGCCTTCCTTTCCCGTCACTGATGTTAATTTTGTAACTGCCAGAAATTCCTCTCCTCTGTACTCTGACCCAAAACCAGCTCTCTGCTTCTCCCTCTGTCTTAAGCCCTGACCTCAGATAACAGGGGGACTGCCTGTAGTCTAGTGGGCACTGGTGTATGGGAAGAGGAAGCGAGAGGTGGCCTCAGCATTTTCTCTCTCTCTCTCTTTCTCTCATTCTGGGACAGAAAGGAAGGAAGGAAGAAGGAGGAGCAGCAGGAAAGGGAGGAGGGTAATTGCTGCAGGGTCGGGGCAGAGTAAATGAAGGATTACAGTATGGTCAGATGGCCTGGATTCAAATCTGTCAATTACCAGCTCTGGGAGACTTTGCTCAAGTTATGTAACTGATGTAAATCTTAATTTCTTCATCTATTTTTTTTAAAAAAAGAAGAACTTGAGGAGGAGTCCCTCCTCACAGAGCTGTTGTGAGGATTAAGTGAGATAATATATGTAGTGGGCATAGGATGTTTACGGGAAATAGTCTATTCAATTAATGGTGCCTGAATGGGGAATTCTTTCCCCCTTACACTCTCACCCCCACCCTTTGTCTCCTCTCCCAGTTTTTCTCTCTTCTAGCTAGCAGCAGGATGTAAGAATGGGAGGGATAGGGAGAATGGCAGGAAAGAGATAAGTCAATCTGTTGCAACTACTTCTTTCAACTCCTGCCTCCAGCCCAGCCTCCAGTCCCCCTCCGACCCCCCCACCTGCGCCACCAGTCTCCAGATTTCTGGCCTGTTTCTGAGTTTCTCTCCCCTACCACCTGCGAGTTTGCCACCTCTCTAACCGCAGGGACTACAGAGTCTCATTCCTCAGGTTCCTCAGGACCCTTCCCCAACCCAGGGCCTTTCCTGGTCCTTGTGACTCGGGGCAAGGGAGTCACGGGTGCTTCAGCGCAGCTTGTGTGCAGTGGGCACCCTGCCCAGGGCAGGCCGGCAGGGTCACCATGGAGCGGATGGTTTCCAGGGCTCCCAGGTGGACGTCTGACTTCATTTCTCATAGAAATAGCATCAGAGGTGATGTCTGGGCTCTACTGTGAGGACTGCTTAGGGCTATAAGTCAGAGTCCTAACCACCAGCATAATTCTGTTTTTATGGAAATAGACTGACCACAAACAATGGACTTACATCTTCCTCATACTCCGGGAATGTCCGTAGTATTTGTAAAAGAATAACAGTGCTTCATAGTTTATAGACTATTTTCACATCTGTGTTCTCATCTGACCTTTCCAGGTAGGCAGATGGTAAACATTATTAAACCCCATCTTACAAAGAAGGAAGTAGCCCAGAGAAAAAACTTGAGTTGATATGTCACATTGCTGAAAGTAAAATTATGTAACCACATTTAGTGAAATAAACTTAGCTAACATAATGTTTCTGCTAGAGATCCTGTGTAAGCAAATTCCATACACTGATAAAACTATTTTGTAATTTGTCATTTACTAACTGTAAATTGAGATGGCTTCACTTTCAGTAACTCAAAATATCTTTCTTCCCTCTTCTTTTCCTCTTTATCTCTATATAGATACAAAAATAAATATATATTTAATTCCAGAGATCAACAATGTAGGAAGAATATAAAACACCGTTATTTGGCCTCTTTTGTCTTATAAATTAAAAAAAATCACACACATCCTTCACTGTCGACCTTGAACACATTGCCCTGTCTGTGCCTCAGTTTCCACAGCATGAGACAAAAAGGTCAGACTAGGTGGGGATGCTGTCTGGAGTAGACCAGTAGCCAGCCAGGACCCGCTGTTTGGTGCTGTTCCACATTTTCCTAGTTCTATGAATTTGGGGAAAATCACTTAAATACTCTAGGCCTTAGTTTCTTCCTATGTAAAATGATGAGTGCAGCCTTGACGATCTTAAATATTCCTTCTGCTCAACCTTCTGTGCCCACTGGTGAAGTCACCAGGTAGTTCACCTACCTTTCTAACAAACTGACGCAGCTGCCACTTGACTTGCCAGCAGGGGCTGTTCATACTCTCTTCGTCATTTGGGTCCCAATCGCTGTCATCTTCCTTTAAGAAACAGGCAATGCCACTTTTGGAGTATTTGATCTGCATCTGGGTTGAGATGGAATATAGTACAATATTATGCACACGTGCTTTTTATTTTTGTTCATTTAGAAGTTAAAACAACAGAAGTCTTGGTACCTTGAATAAGCTTATAGCTTGAAATGAAAGTTCACGCGCTGTCCTTTGTCCTTTGAATAAAAGTAAGCAGTTGGGTATGGTAGGATACCATACTACAAAGGATAAGGTGTGGGCTAGCCATCCTGCGGCAAAATGCCCCTCACTGCCCCTTGCCATTAAACAGCTGTGTGTCCCTCAACAAATTGCTTCTTCTCTTCTGCATCTGTTCTTCATTTGAGTTTTGACCTGGTTTACTGTGGTGATCTTGGAGGTTCCTTTGAGCTCTAATATGATGTGGATCTCATTCTAAAGCTGGAAACCCACCTAGGTACAAAGTAAGCAGTGGAGCTCATTTAAATTCCAGGATTCTAAATAAAAAATTAGTCAAACGCTTTGGGGTGCAGAATATGTTCTGTTTCTTGAGCTGAGCTTTGGCTGTCTGAGTAGATTCTAGCTATTGTCGTGAATCCTACTTCTCTGGATGGCAGAACCTGGACCACGTTGCCACTAGACATCTGAACATTGTCTCATTAAATGTCCACACCAGCTAGGGACTTACCTGCAGAGACTCGAAACACCATTTGAAGGTTTGCTTCCTCCTTCTGATCGAGAGTAAACATTTACAAGGGCCAGATCATTGTCCACAAAGTCCTTGCTTGATGTTCAGCACACATGTGCCTACACACACACACACACACACACACGCACACGTATGCATGCGTGCACACAAACATGCATGTATACATACACCCCAAACCATCCAGAAGACTTCAGGCTAATAACTGGTTAATCTTGCAAAGGAAAGCAGTAGGTCCACTTAAGGTCAGGAATTTTCTTTTCTTGTTTTTGTTTTCGACAGCTGAGATTGAGGAGATGTTATTTCCTTGTACAAATCTGCTGAATTGCCTTTCTCTGGGGAAATAAAATATTCCTAATTATAACTTTCATTGCTACTCAACTAATTTTCTTCAACATTTTATTTGAAGCAGGAAAAACGGCCATTTTTATCTGTTCCTTGGACTTAGGGGACTCCAAAGCTTGAAGGAAGGAGCAGACTTAGCGGTGACCTCCTCCTTTCTGTAGAAACACAATCTCGCTCTGAATCAAAATGACTTCACCATTCAGGAGAGGTCCCAGCTGGAGGTACAAGGTTCTGTACTCAGCAAGGTACCCTCCGGACATTTGATCACAATCTCTCAAGTGCAGAAGAACAAACCTGAGTTAATTACTTCCTTCCACACATTCTGCCATAGAATACTCATTTACTTTTAAATAAATGTTTGTTTTCTTCCTTTTTTTAATTGTAAGGTAAAACATTCTCCTAGCAGATGTAGTGAGGGTGACAGCTGGGACCACCTGAGTTGAGATACGACTGGCAGTGGAATTGGACAGCATTTCTTTGCCCCTACCCACCCCATCCTCTTCTACTGTAGACATCTCTTTGCAACGCCAATTTACGTGGGAGCTCAAAAGACTTCTTGAGGAAGGAACTCAATCAAACATGGTTTAGAAATATGAGAACATGTTTCACAGAGGGTGAGGGGTAAGATCAGAGAGGAAGAGCTGGCTTCAGCCCCAAGGCCTGGGGTGGTTCCAGGAAGAGCAAGTTAGACTGGGCTCTGTCCCAGCCCAGTCAGGATGGGCGTGCCTGGCCAGGCGTTGGTTTGATGAAACTGGATAAACAGGCTTAGAAACTTCTGTAACTTTTTGGAACAAAAAGATGTGCATGAGATAGAAGGGAGGGAACAATTTGCCTTCTCCCTTCACAGCAGTTGTAAACGGTCTCAACATGAGCATGGGAGGCTAGGTTGAGGGGCAGGAGAAGGCCAGATTGAGAGCTGCCTGCGATTAGGCAGTAATGGTAGCCAGCCGGCCCCTGTGGACTGAAGGGGAGTTTGAGGAGAGAGGAAGTGGAGCAGGGGCCAGGCCAGGTCAGTACCAACTGCTGGCTAGTGCCTCTGGATGCTCTCTGGGGACTTCCCAGAAACACTTTCAGGAGGTGGGAGAGAGAATCTTGAAAATTGAGTAGGGTCCTAGGTATACATGGGAGGGAGGTTGACAAGCTAATGTAATTCCATTGTTACTCCAAATTTAATGAAGCCTAGAAACACTGAGAATACACAGGTAACCTGGAAAATATAGAAAAGTAAAGAACAATTTTCTATAAGTAAAACAAACAAAAAACCCACTAAAATTACCCTAATCCTGCCTCATATTTAATCTTTGGATGATCTCTCTTGTTTACCGGATTGAGATCTGATTGGGTGTGGGCAATTTTGTGTATGGTTGTTTTCTCTTAAGACTACATAAAAATGTCATGTTCTTTAAATTTGTATGAAAATCATATAGGATAGCATAGATATTTTTATGACATTTGCTATAGAAATTTTATGCAATATAGAGAAATAAAAAGAAAAAAAGGCATCCATAATCCTACTATCTAGAGATCACGATTGTCAACATTTGGGGGTTTTTCCTTCTAGACATTTTTATGCATAAATATTGATTTCTGAACAATAGAAACCCAGAGAGAAAGCCCCAACCATCCCTCATCCCCGCGTGTTTCTTGCATTATCATATTTGATAGTTTCTTCTATAGATCTTGACCGATGTTAGTGACTCACGCAGGCGACGGGGGTGCTGTGGTTATTTCAAGAATAATTAATGATGATTAATTCTCATGTATTTCTCTCGTTCTTTCCTTCTCACATATCTTCCACCTCAAAGCATGAATTTTTTACAGCACATCTCAGGCTGGGGTTTTCTCTAGCTAACCACATCTGGGGACAGGGGGATGGGAGTGCCATTTTTGTTTATATGCCTCTAGAAGGAGAGACAGCTCTTGCAACAGATGCCTGCTCTTCTGCTCTAGAAGCTCTTGGTTCTGAGAAGTGGATTTCTACTGCAACTGCGTTGCTGCCATTGCAAACATGTAGTTGTCTAGGCCAGGGCCAACCAGTCCTTGGCAGAGCTCGAGGTCAGCAGGGTGGACTCTTTTGCTGGCTGGCTCAGAGTCTTCAAGGTGGCAGCCCTGACCTTCTCTGCTGCCCAGACATTAATCTCTGACAATCACCTTCTGCAAACCACAAATTGCATAAAGGATCATTTATAGAGATTGCTGAGTAAGGGTCCCCTTCTCCTTTCTCTTTCCCATGTATTATGCCAGAGTGATAGGCAGTCCCCTTGTCAAAAAACTTTCTCAGAGAGACTGAGCCCATATTTATTGTTCATGCTTGCTGGTTTACAGGCTTATTTGTGAAGGTCCAACCCAACGATACTCAGCCATCCTTAACCCATACTCCCTATAATTCTTGCTCACTGTATCTTCTTCAAATTTTCACTAGCCAAAGTGGAACCTGTATTCTGTTTTAGAAAATTAATATTTATGTTGAATATGCTTCTCCAAACTCTACAGACACCCAAGGAGATTCAGATTCATCTTCCCTTGCAAAAATCCCTGATGGAAAAAACTTCAAAAGACATCTCAATCTTAATTAAGTTTACAAATGGCTACAATTTATTGAGCATCTATTTAATGCCTGGGTTCAAAATTGGGCTTTACCTTTTACTAGTTTTGTAATCTTGGACAAATTAATTAACTTCCTGAGCCTTAGTTTATCTATCAAATGGGATAATTATATTTACTTTATAGAATTGCTATGAGAATGAGGAGTAAATAGGGCAATAGTTTGCGAAGTGTCTGAAACACAGTATTTGCTCAATGTCTGTTAATTCTCCTCCCTTTCTGGCACTCTCAAAGAATTCTTCTGCATGGCTATACAGATATGTATACACATGTAACTACGCAATCAAGAAAAATGTGTGCAAGTAGAGAGATGTCAAGCTTTATTTGATATTTCCATTTTACAGTAGAATTCAAAAAAATTTGATCATATACACAGACAACTGCATGAGTCAGCTCAGTAAAGAGCCAGTTAAATCAGTTAAAATTAGGCCAACTTGTAATATGAGCAAATTGAGGGAACAGCTTGTGTATAGAAAGACAGACTCACTCTGTTTATGCTGCAAAGTTAACAAAGGTTAGGACATGCTGGCTCCAAACTGGTAAACACAGCAGCATCCCAGCCTTTCACACACTTAGAACTAAAGGCTTGATTACAGTCACATTGACCTTTTTTCTTACAAACATACAGACTCTTCTAAATGTGTCCTACGACAGAGCTGACTTTACTGGTCATCTCATGGTAGCCATCATTTTCATAATTTCATAACTACCTGCAAATCAAACAAGAATCTTCATCCATTTCCAAAGGAAAAATTTCCAACCCGTTGAGATAAACAGACTTATACTCCACAGGGTATACAACTCTATTTCCTTAACAGATAAACACTCTGTGGTTTTTGCGCAATTTCTCTTTTCCTGAGACCCTGAGTAAGCTGCATTTCCTAGCCAGCTGACAGATTCGATGTTGCCTTATCCTAGTGGAGCAGGATGCAGTGTGTTTCACAAGATGAAATATGTTAACCCTTGGACAGCCTTCTGTGGAAGGAAGAGCGTTACCTCCGTGCCTGAGGCCCTAGGTTCAGCTCTGCTCCTAAGGCCAAGTCTCATCCAAGTCTGAGCTTGGAGAAGCAGTGCTCTGGGGTCTCTAGTCTCCTCATCTCTACAAGGAGGGGTGTCCAAAGTTCCTTCCAGCTCACAGTTCTCTACTGTATAATATAGACTATAGTATATTAATTACTATATATACAAAGAAATACACAAAGAAGCCACAAGCTGAGTTGGTTTATTTTCAGCAATTTTGCTTTCATAGTTCCAAAAGTTTTATATAGTTGAAAAATACACAAACTAGAACGGCATTAAGTTTTTTTTTCCCTGCTCAAATGAACTTGGATTCGTACCTGGACCACACACAGGTATAGAATGGTAGTTTTATTTTCAATTATTCTGTCATGAACAGTAAAATGCTGAGTCCATCTGGTAACTTCTCTATTACAGACTTTCCCCACGACGTGCCTGGGGCCAAGGAACAGGCAGAGTCCTGACCCTTTATATTCTCACTATTGCTGACACAGAAATGCCACGGATCCAAACCTAAAACGTATTTCAAAGATCTGGTTTACCCCCACCCTATGTCCCAGAGGAAAAAGGAAAGTCTCCAAGACTTGGTTCTGATTTTAGTTCGTATATGTATTATTCTACCTGCTAATTTTGGAAGTCTGACTTGTCTGTGTGAAGGCTTTCCTCTGAGTAATGTAAGAGCTTTAAGACAAAGAGATGAGAGGAAGAGTCTGGCACTGGTTAAACCCCTGAGGTCAAAGGAGAAGCAAACAGTCAGAAAGAACATTTCTGTCTGTGCAAGACTCAAGTCTGGTTTCCTCCAACGATTGACAAATCCACTGGGATTAGCTACAACCGGAGCACAAAACAACAGTGTTGTTGTTAGTGATTTAGAGCCTGGTATTTGGGGAGCCCTGACTCTACCTGCTCCCTGTGTACTAACAAGACCACCACATCTGTGAAGGCTGGTTATTCACGCAACTAGTATTTCATGAACACCTACCACGAGGGAGCTACGTGCTATCCTCCGAGGTGAAATGGTGAGCAAAAGCAGACACAGTCCCACCCTGCTGCAGCTCCCCCAAGAATTAGAGTCAAGAACTAGAAAGCATTGAGCAGAAAGCACGCCGTGAATGGCAGCAATCGCTGATATCATAAAATACATATGCTGCTGAAGACAAAAGCTTCCTTGGAGTTCTGCTGCCTGCCATTGCTAGCAACTGGTGGAGCCAGATCTGTGACTATACTTTGTTCACATAATCCTTTCAGCTTACACTTTTGCAAAGTCCTCAGTAATTTTATGCCTTAGCAATAAGGGTCCACGAGCAGAAAAAGGGAGCATTCTGTTCTCCTATAAGGTGTTCCCAGAGGAGCAGACAGAGAGGCAGTTACCCGGGGGGTGCTGAGGGCCTCTGTGAGGGGCCACGGGCATTGTACTGACCTGCTTCAGCTCGTTGGTGAAGTACAAATAAGTCACAGCCACACAGAGGGCCTGCAGGAGCACTGTGAAGATCAGGATCAGCACGCAGGTCTGCCCGGGGCTGGGACCCCCTGATGCCTGCATCATGGCCATGCTCGTGTCAGACACTCACTGTGGCAGAGTCAGCCCGGCAGCAGGTTATTGTAGAGGAACCAAGGACGGATCGGGGTGGAGCCCTTCTTAAGTTTCGTTTCCAAAAAAAAAAAAAAAGCTCAAAATGAAACTGAAACAACCTGCTGGGGAAGCCAGAGAAGCACCAGCAGTGTTCCTAGAAGCTCTCTCTGTTCCCAGCAGCACCAGACACCGAGGAGGTGAACTTGCCCAGAGAAGTTCTTCAGCACTGAAAGGGCTATGTGAGGCTTAAGTCAAACAGCTCCTTCCCCAATGCTCAGGGCTTTTTGGGTCCTGAGGAGGTGCCTTTGCCCATCAACTGTGCCAATTCCTAGGCTCCCATGTCACAGGTGATATGGAGGAGGAAGAGCAAATGACATGAGGAAGACAGAAACCTCTCTGCCCCAACATAATGTGGGTGAAATAGGTAAGAGCCCAGTGCATTTATCTGGGAGTCAATACATGTGCGTTTTACTCATTCTCCTGCCATTTTCTCGCTGTACACCTTGACCAAGTCACTCACAATTTGGTGCTTTAGTTTCCTCATCAATCAAGCAATAGGATTTACTCAGGGGTCTTTAAGATCCCTAACAGCTTGCTCATTTTATGATTCTATCATTGCCTGATCCTGCAGAGATAATAGAATTTCATTTGTTTACCTCGGGGCGGTGAGTCCAAGACCTCTTCTGACAAGACTTCAATAGCTATAAAACAGAACCCATTGTACCATCACCAGCTGTTAGCTGACATGGTGGTTTGGGGGGAATTGCAGCGCGGTGTGGGTTGACATAGCAGATTTTGTTATTGTTCCCAACTCTATCCCTGTCTCTATTTCTGCCCTTTACCGCGTACTTTACAGTTCATCTCACCAGAGAATATATTTCCCTGCTTCATTGATGCTGGGCTTGGTTGTGGGACTTGGCCTTTGGGATATTTGCAGGCCTAACATGAGAAGGCTTGAATTATAATTGCACAATTGGTCTTGCCCTTTGACGTCTGTCATTTCCACGAGAAGACAGACCCAGGTGGTCTAAGGAGGATGAGAGATGCATGGAGCTGAGCTAGACCCAGTGTAAATTTTGGAGCCAAGGTCAGCTGAACGCAGCCTAGCTCAGCTGATTCCCAGGCAACTTGAAGATAAGAGAGCAAGAATAAATCATTGTTATTTGAATCCACCGAGTCAGTGGCTGCGGAGCATTATTGCAGCAGTAGGTCACTGAGAGCGCCTAGGACTAGGGAACATTTAGAACACTTTTGCTGCAATTAACAAAGAAGGCTACTTAAGAAAGTTTCAACAAAATTTCAATTGGGACTTTAGTGTCAAGCAACGGAAGACAATTCAGACAAATTGAAACAGAAAAAGCAATTTATTAAAAGGATATTGGGTAGTTAGAATCTTGGTGGAGGTTGCTGGAAACGGATTTGAAGCTGTCAATCTGGGGGCATCCCCGAAATCTACCCATACAGTCATCTGGTAGCAATATAACCACTGCCGCCACAGGACATATACACCGCAGCTGCCACCTGCCCTAGAGAGCCGGTGCTATTCCTAGAACCAGTGATACTGCTGTTCTGGAAATTGAGCACAGTGGTCACTGGGCAAAACTCACAGAACAGAAATGCTCAGCCTCTGCTTCTGCTTCATGAAACTTCATGATTTATCTTTATTTATTTATTCATTTATTTATTTTTTGAGAAAGATTAGCCCTGAGCTAACATCCACGGCCAATCCTCTTTTTGCTGAGGAAGATTGACCCTGGGCTAACATCTGTGCCCATCTTCCTCTATTTTTATATGTGAGGTGCCTGCCACAGCATGGCTTGCTGAGCAGTGCGTAGGTCCGTGCCCGGGATCCCAACCGGCGAACCCCAGGCCACCAAAGTAGAGCACGTGAGCTTAATCAGTAGGCCACTGCGCCAGACCCGTGAAACGTCATGATTTATCTTTAGCTTCTGATTCACATGTGTATTTATGCATCTGTTTGATGGAGTCTAGATCATGTTGCACCATAACTTCAAGGAAGAAAGACAAGGTCAGTATCTGACATTTTCAGCTTCTCTGGTGGGAAGTGGTCTGTTCATAAGAGAGGAACTCCTAACATAGGAAAGAGGTTGCATGCTGGCCAGCCAAAGTGAAAAATAAATGCCCACTGCAAACAACCAGGGACGTTATCAGCTCACATATATCAGTATGTCTAGACATAGGGCAGGCTTCCTTAGTGCTTGGCCCTACAGTGTCTTCCAGACTCAGGTTCTTTTCTTCTCACAATCCTCCACAGGTTGACTTCATCCTAAGGCTGCTCCCCATGTTTATATGGTCTCAATGTTTGTGTCTCCCTACCCCAAAATTCTATGTTGAAATCCTAACCCCCAAAGATGATGGTGTTAGGAGGTGGGGTCCTCAGGAGGTGACTAGGTTATGAGAGTGGAATCCTGATAAATGGGATTAGTGCTCTTATGAAAGAGATCCCACAGAACGCCCTAGCCCCTCCACCATGTGACGGCAAAACGAGAAGGTGCCAGCTATGAACCAGGAAGAAGGCCATTGCCAAAATGGGACCATGCTGGTGACTTGACCTTGAACTCTCCAGGCTCCAGTACCATAAGCAATAAATTTCTGTTTTTGTTGGGCTACCCAGTGTGTCGTATTTTGTTGTAGCCGCCCAAATAGACTAAGACAATTATGAAACAGACACCAGCAGAAAATGGGGCTATCTATCTGCTTTCTTGTTCGTATCTGAAAATGAGAAAGATACGCTTCCCCAGCACACTCGCAATCCTCCTTCATCTCTTCTTTTAAAATTTTAATAAAATTAACACGTAACAAAATGTGCAGATTTTCAGCAAAAGAGTTGCATTAGGATTCTCTAGAGAAACAGAACCAATAAGCTGTGTATATACAAGTAGATTTATTTTAAGGAATTGGATCATGTGATTATGGAGGCTGGCAAGTCCCAAATCTGCAGGGTGGGCTGGCAGGCTGGAGACCCAGGGAAGAGCTGATGTTGCAGTTCAAGTTCAAAGGCCATCTGCTGGCAGAATTCCTTCTTTCTCAGGAGGTCAGTCTTTGTTCTATTGAGGACTTCAACTGGTTGGATGTGGCCCATCCACATTATGGAGGGCAATCGGCTTTAATCGCAGTCTACTGATTTAAATGTCACTTTCACCCAAAAAGCACCCTCACAGAAACATCCAGAACAATATTTGACCAAATATCTGGGCACCATGATCCAGCCAAGTTGACACACAAAGATCAATGAGTTTGGCATATAAAATTGTGTAACCATCACTCTAATCAAGATATATACCATTGTGATAACCCCAGAAAGTTGTACTGAGTTCTTTTCCAGTCATTCCTCACTCTAACTCCACGGCAACCATTTCTTTCTCTTTTTTTCGCTTTCAAAAAGATCTTTATTTTGGTATGATTGACATGCAATAAACTGCACATATTTAAGCTATACAATTTGATGAGTTTTGGCATATGCATTCACCAGTGAAATTATCAACACAATCAAGATAAGGAACATGGCCATCACCCCCAAGATTTCCTTGTGCCCCTTTTTATCCCTTTCCCCTCTTCCTCCTTGTATTTTTGTGTTATTATTTTATTGAGGTCATATTGGCTTACAACATTGTGTAAATTTCAGGTGTACATCATTATATTTCAGTTTCCGTACAGACTGCATCATGCTCACCGCGAACAGCCCAGTTTTTATCCCACACCATACATATGTGCCCTTTTATCCCTTTTGCTTTCCCCCTCCCCTCTCCCCTAGTAACCACTAATCTATTCTCCTTATCTATGTGCAACCATTTCTGATATCTGTCACCGCGAATTAATTTCTGGTTTAGAACTATATATAAATTGAATCATACAATATGTATTCTTTTTGTATCTGGCTTGTTTTAGTCAACAGAATGTGTGAGTATGTGTGTGTGTGCATGTGTTTGTGTGGTGTAGCTGAAATAAACACAGATCCAGATGTTCCGTGAGATAAGTTTTAAATACTTGTATAACTTGTGTAACTGCTACTCAAAACAAGATATGGAATATTTTTTTGCTCCAGAAAGTCCCTTCATGCACCTTTCCAGTTAAAATCCCTCCCCACCCAAGGCAACCAATTTCTGGCTTTTTTTTTTTTTCGTAATATGAAGTTTTTGAGATTTATCCCTGTTTTGTATGTGTATTAGTAGTTGCCTTTTATTGATGAGTAGTATTCCGTCATTTGTTTATCCCTTCTCCTGTTGATGGCCATTAGAGTTGTTTTTAGTTTTTAGTAATTATGAATAAAGCTGCTTTGAGTATTTTTATGCAAGTCTTTTTGCACACAAGCTTTTCCTTGGGTAAGTGCCTAAGAATGTAATTTCTGGTGACGGTGTAGGTGTTTAACTTTTAAAGAAGCTGTCAACAGTTTTCCGAAGTGGTTGTAACATTTCTAACTCTAACAGCAATGTTTGAGTTTCAATTGCCCCATGTCCTCACCAACACTTGATATTGTCAGTTTTTAAAATTATAGCTTCTCAAGTGGACGTTGTGTCTCACTATGATTTTATTTTGCATTTTCCTAATAACCGTAATGATGTTGAGCATCTTTTTATGTTGACCTTTATACGTATATACTATTTTGTGATATGTTTGTTATTTTGGTTTTTGGGTTTTTCAAATTTTTATTTTTGATTTGTAAGAGTTTCAGATATATATAAATATATATATTCTAGATATGAGTCCTTCGTCAGATATACGTATGGCAGATATTTTCCAAGTGTATGAGTTAACTATTCATTTTCTTAATTGTGTATTTTGAGGAATAGAACTTTTCCATTTTGATGAAGATGAATTTACTGGTTTTTTTTTCTTTTTTGGTTTTTGTGTCCTGCCTAAGAAAACTTTGCCTACCTTAAGTTAGCAAAAATATTATTTCATGATTTCTTTTAGAAGCTTTATTATTTTCGCCTTTGTGTTTAAGCCTATCTTGAATT